ATTTTCATGTTGGTCATTTGTCTCCACCTGAAAGATGGTTATGTGGACTTTGGCACACAAGTCCTACATATTTCTGTGTAGCCAGTCCTACTTTAAAATTGTGTGTGTGTGTGTGTGTGTGTGTGTATGTGTGTGTGTACACACAAGCACGGTGCATGATCTACGTGTATGTGTGTGTGTACATGAAGGTCAGGGGAGAAAGTCAGGTATCCTACCCTATTGTAACATAATGGTCGACTTGTTGGGGTTTCTGTCCCACCCAGTACCCCACAACCGGAAAACCCCAAAGAAAATCACACACAGGACTCCATAAGATTATAAACTGATTGGCTCATTAGGTCAGGCTTCTCATTAGTCCTTGTAACTTATATTAATCCATTATCATTATCTATGTTAGCCACATGGCTCAGTACCTTTCTCAGTGTGACAGCTCACATGTTGCCTCTTCGGTGGTCTGGTCAGGAATGGCGGAGGGAGCTTCCTGCTTCCCAGTATACTCCCAGTCTCTTTGCTCCACCCCTACTTCCTGTCTGGCTTTCCCGCCTATACTGCCTGCCTGACCAATTAGCGTTTTATTAAAATATGATTGACAGAATACAGACAATTCTCCCACATCATTTCCCTCTCTCTTTTTTTTTAAACAAAGGAAAATACCCATAGTCCATTTGTTGGGAATGTGGGCATAGTATTTCAGGCTACTTCCTGCTGGTTGGGGGTGCTGATAATCTTATAGGGACCTAAAGAAAATTTAAGGTTATAATCAAGTCCTGACTGGAGTATCCTGTGAGTCTTGATCATCTCAGGCAGCAGTCTTGAATCTGTTCTGGATGTAGAACTCAGACATCTGGGCCATCTGTTCCTACCGGAGGTTTCTCGGGTGGTCTCTCTTGGTCAAACTGGATTTTTCTTAACTCAGAATGAATCCACAGCCTCTTATTTTCTGTGGAAACAAGAGCAAAATCTCTTCTCCAAAGTAACATACCTTTTGACTTCAGTTTTGAAGCCAAGGTATTTTCAAAATACCTATCTTGGATTAATTCAGCAGCATTTATAAGAAAATATCTTTTAGCAGCTGTTGCTCCTTCCTCAGCATCCAAACAATTCAAAGAGAGCATAATAGCATACAGTATCAAGATTCTCTGTGTATTTTCCATCTTTATGCAGCTTTATTTTAACCTCCATTTCTTTTATTTTTTCTTTTAACTTTTGGCTTTTTGAGACAGGTTCTCTGTATATATCTTTGTCCTCGAATAATTCTGTAGACCAGGCTGTTCTTGAGCTCACAGAGATCCTTCTGTCTCTCAACAAGCCAGCTCTCATGTTACAGATGGCGCCCACGTGGATAACTGCATCCACAGAAAGCCTGAGAAAGCTTGGGAAAGAATAGAGTAAAGCATGGCTTCTTGGTAGCAGCAATTTCCTGGGTCTGCTCTGCTTGCTAGAGGCAAGTGCTCTCACAAAACTCTGCAGCTCATTAAGAGGTCCTGCCACAAAACACTTAAACGGTGTTGATGAAAAGCTGAACGCATGCTTTTCAGTTTTCAGCCGTAGCAGGAAAAAAGCTGCGCTGTTTTAAAATGCTGGCTTTCTGGGCCATCATGCCAGGGCAAACTCTGCCTCTTTCAGGCAGGCAGTCCGACTGAGTGTGGTCTGTGAGCAGAATGCTGCAGCTTGCTTGCTGGCAGGGACCTTGAAACGCCATAGAGCCGTGACAATAAAAATGATTACAGCCGGTACCTCTGCCACGTGGCTGGAAAGCTAAGGAATGGGCTGGATCTAGCCGTCAAAGCCGTGGCTTTCCATATTGCTTTGTAAATTAAAGGCTCATGTGGTCAGAAAAGGAGAGATATACAGTAAAGAGAGATTCAAAAACAAAGAAAACCTCTAAATGATTTACTACGTGTTAAAAAATATATGCAGGCTAAAGGTTAAAGTTCTTAGGATAAAAAAGGAAGAAAGAAAGTAGTTGGGTGTGGTGGTACACACCTTTAATCACGATGCCTGGGAGGCAGAGGTAAATTGACCTCTCTGACTTCAAGGGGCAGAGGTAGATTGACCTCTGTGACTTCAAGTTGTGGTAGGACACACCTTTAATCCCAATGCCTGGGAGGCAGAGACAGACAGATCTCTGTGAGTTCAAGGTGTTGTAGCACACACCTTTAATCCCAGCACTGGGGGGAGGTAGAGACAGAAGGATCTCTGTGAGTTTAAGGACAGCCTGGTCTACAGAGTTATTCCAGGACAAAGATATATACAGAGAACCTGTCTCAAAAGCCAAAAGTTAAAAGAAAAAATAAAAGAAATAGAGGTTAAAATAAAGCTGCATAAAGATGGAAAATACACAGAGAATCTTGATACTGTATGCTATTATGCTCTCTTTGAATTGTTTGGATGCTGAGGAAGGAGCAACAGCTGCTAAAAGATATTTGCTTATAAATGCTGCTGAATTAATCCAAGATAGGTATTTTGAAAATACCTTGGCTTCAAAACTGAAGTCAAAAGGTATGTTACTTTGGAGAAGAGATTTTGCTCTTGTTTCCACAGAAAATAAGAGGCTGTGGATTCATTCTGAGTTAAGAAAAATCCAGTTTGACCAAGAGAGACCACCCGAGAAACCTCCGGTAGGAACAGATGGCCCAGATGTCTGAGTTCTACATCCAGAACAGATTCAAGACTGCTGCCTGAGATGATCAAGACTCACAGGATACTCCAGTCAGGACTTGATTATAACCTTAAATTTTCTTTAGGTCCCTATAAGATTATCAGCACCCCCAACCAGCAGGAAGTAGCCTGAAATACTATGCCCACATTCCCAACAAATGGACTATGGGTATTTTCCTTTGTTTAAAAAAAAAAGAGAGAGGGAAATGATGTGGGAGAATTGTCTGTATTCTGTCAATCATATTTTAATAAAACGCTAATTGGTCAGGCAGGCAGTATAGGCGGGAAAGCCAGACAGGAAGTAGGGGTGGAACAAAGAGACTGGGAGTATACTGGGAAGCAGGAAGCTCCCTCCGCCATTCCTGACCAGACCACCGAAGAGGCAACATGTGAGCTGTCACACTGAGAAAGGTACTGAGCCATGTGGCTAACATAGATAATGATAATGGATTAATATAAGTTACAAGGACTAATAAGAAGCCTGACCTAATAGGCCAATCAGTTTTATAAATTATAGAGATCTCTGTGTGATTGATTTTCTCTGGGACTTGCTTGTTGTGGGGTACTAGGCGGGAACAGAAACCCCAGCAAGCCGGCCCTCATGTTACACCATATCACTCTCTATTTTGATATAGGGCCTTTCCCTAAACCTGAAACTAGGCTGGTGGCCAGCAAGCTGCAGTGACCATCCTGTCCGTTTCTCTGCCCCTGCAGGGATGGGGTTACAGGCTTGTATGGTCATGACTAGCTTTGTACTTGGGTGCTAAGGATTTGAACTCACCTGCCAAGTCATCTTCCTGACTCAATTTTAAAGTTATTCATCTTAAAAAATGAATATATAATTTTATCAACTCAAGTTAGTTTTCAAAACATTAAGAAACTAGAGAGCTGTCAGGAGATGGTGCTTTCAGTAGAGATGAGAAGTGAGAGCCAGTGTATAAATTATCAAAGCAGACATAGCCCAAACAAAAGCTGTCTATGCGGCCAGTACTACCCACCGAGCTCAAGGGCAGCATCAGGTTGTGAGATGGTAATTTAGGGTTCAGAGACGACTCTGAAGATTGGCTGATGGTGTTTAAGAAGCACAGAAACAGCCAGGCAATGGTAGTGCTGGTGGTGCACACCTTTAATCCTAGCACTCGGCAGGCAGAGGCAGGTGGATCTCTGAGTTCGAGACCAGCCTGGTCTACAGAGGGAGTTCCAGAACGGCCAGGGCTACACAGAGAACAAACAACAAGAACAACAAAAGCATGAAGAAGAAGTAACAGAAGCAGAACTTGGGGTTTCCATAATCAAGAATTAAGAATCAGACTTTGGTACTTGAAGGGAGTCTAGTTGCTGTGATAGAGCACCCCAACAAGGCAGCCTAAGGGAGAAAGAACCAGTTTGGCTGCAGTTTTTGTTTCAGGGTGCAGTCCATCATGACAGAGAAGTCACAAGGGCAGGGGCATGAGATGGCAGTCACACTATGGCTGAGAAATATAAAGAGATGAACACATGTGCTCAGCTCCTCCTCCTTCCCTCCTTCTCTTCTGGCCTTCCTCTTTTCTTCCCTCCCTCCCTTCATATAATAATATTTGACACAGGTCTTATGTAGACCAGGCTAGCCTCCAACTGACAGAGATCCTCCTGCCTCTGCCTCCCGTGTGATGGGATTAAAGGTGTGCACCACCACACTCGGCCCATAGCTTTCTTCTTTGGTACAGTCCAGGGCCCCAGACAAAGGGCTTGTGCCACCCACAGTGGTAGATCTTCTCAATTTGATCTCGTCAAGACAGCCCCTGCAGGCAAGCTCAGAGTCTGGTTTCCCGGGAGATTCTAGGTCCCATCAGGTTGACTGCTGTACTTTGTCTGTCCCACCGTCAGTGACAATATGGAGTTCAGCTCCACCAACCTTCACCAAGTCCCGCAGGAACAGTTCTCAGTGTTTTTCATGTCGGTGGTTCAGTTTTTAGAAACTATTTATCTACTGTATCTAGATAAATATACCTAAATCTGATCTTGTAGACTGTATTTTGAACTAAGTTATAATAGTGTTTGTGTGTTTGCCAATAAAGGAAGCCCCACACCCTGACAAATCCAGCTGTGCTCTGGCTTGCTTGGATTAAGGTTCTATGGGGTGGGGAAATGAACCACACTGCTTACTAGTGACGCAGTTGGGTCTCAAGGCAGTTGAGCAGATTGTTTTTAGTCACACAGCTTGGATGCAGTAAGAACCCTCTCTAGAACCTAGATTGTAAAGTCTGTCTGACGTCTCCCTGTGGTTGGATCCTACTGCATTAGCATCCAGACCCCCCTCCCCTTTTTATTAACTGTGACTTCTGATTGCTAATTCCCAGGTGCCCTTTGGCTTTGGTGTGGCTGCCAGCGTCCGCGTGGGCAATGCTTTGGGGGCAGGGAATGCTGAGCAAGCCCGGCGTTCCTGTACCACTGTTCTTCTGTGTGCTGGTGAGCCGTCTCTGTGGTGCCCATGCTGAATTTGGTGCAGTGTTTGTGCTTCTACAGCACGGTACCTGAGATGGATAAACTTGCAAAGAACGAAGTTCATTTCTCACAGAATTTGGGGCTGATCAAATCCTAGATCTAGACACCACCAGGCCTGGTTATCTAGTGAAATCTGCCCTCAGCCCTCAGCTTCCAAGATCTTCTCTGCCACCCCGCCTCCCGCCCACTCCACCGCCCCAGTCAGGCCCTTTTAGAAAACACCTATCCCTCGCCTGGCATCATGGCCCTCATGATTCAATTACCTCACTTTTGCATTCTGAATGAAATTTCACTCTTGAGTACTAGAGGAGCAAAAACATTCAAAATGTATTCCTCGTGTTCCGAAGGGTTCGACTCTGGATAACAGACTCCCTTGGAAGGAATCAAGGGTAGCAGATCTTAATGGCTTTTCCACAGAGAGTGAGAGAGAATTACTAGTTACACGGTAGCCCTAATTTGGAGGCAGGGCTTCACCATGTTGCCCAGGCTGGTTTGGAATGCCCAGGTCACAAATTAAAGCAATCCTCTACTGCCTCAACTCCCCCCATCGCTGGCATTGCAGGTGCCTGCTCTTGAGCCCAGCTGCATCGTTAAGTTTCCCGGTAAATGATGCAGATCTCCCATGAGAAGCTTTGTCAAGTTCTGGAGAACTGTTCTTTCCTGTGACTCCTTTTGTGTTTCCCAGGTGTCTGTGCGCTCCTGGTGGGAATTCTGCTTGCAGCCTTGAAGGACGTGGTTGCCTACATATTCACCAATGACAAGTAGGTCATTACCTGTGCTTTCTTCCCTGCCTCCATTTGGTTAGGAGGGGGTGTTGCCCTTCACTCCCCAGGAAAGCTTGTAGCACAGCCAAGGAGAGGCCAGCAAAAGTCACGGACTCAATCTTACACTTTTATTGTGTTTTCTGTAACAGGAATTACAGAATGATTTATGTATAAGAAATCGTCTATTGAATAAAATAGACCATTATCAGCCTTGTCTGGTGGAACAGACCCGTAATTGCAGTTATTCAGGAAGCAGGGACAGGAAGATTGCAAGTTCAAGGCCAGTTTGCACAACTTAGTGGGACTCTGTCTCAAAATAAATAATTTTTTAAAAGAAGAAAAACTCCTCTATAGTGTCAGAACTTCTATATATTAGTAAAATTTAGTGAGTATGATTTTATCATATACTTAAAATGTAATGTTTGCCCTGGATTGTTAGACTTGTGATTTAAAAAAAAAAAGTGTATGCATGTGCACATGCACACATGCTCATGAATGTGCGTGCCATAGTATGTGAATCCTGGGGCTGGAACTCAGGTCATCAGCTTAGCTGAAAGCACCTTTATCCACAGAGCCATCTCACGCAGGGGTGTCTAAGTCACTGACTGCTGTCCTCCTCCTGAACAGGGACATCATTTCCCTTGTGAGCCAAGTGATGCCCATTTTTGCTCCCTTTCATCTGTTTGATGCACTTGCAGTAAGTATGCAGCGGTTTCACTCTGATATCTGAAAATTGCATGTCTGTGACTTAATGCTTGCGTGTCTGTCAAGGGTCCTTGCCTGGCTCCCATCTAACTGAATGCCTGGAGTCACCGGTGTGCCAGCCAAGTGACATGGTGACTGCTGGATCTGTCCAGACAGGTCGGGTCATGATGAGCTAACTCTGACCTCTAGGTCTCTCCCTGGGCTGGTCTTCTGTGGACCTGTGGCTGCCTGAAGACCCTTTGGTCACATTCCAGAATCATCCCGGGAGGCTTATACTTAATACGAGCCGTTATTCTTTGTGGCGTGACTTACAAGCGTCGCTGACGCTTGGCTTTCCTTCCTGTGGGGTTTCCTCCACTTCCTCCACACCGCTCTGGAGGTGGGTGCCATGGGTGAGCACAGCAGTGGTGCTGTCTGTCGCTGTGACAGAATCACGACCAAAAGCAACTTGAGGAGGACAGGGTTTATTTGACTTACTCGTTAGGATCCAGCATTAAGGAAACCAGGCAGGAACTCAAGCAGAGATTGTGGGGAAGGCTGCTTATTGCCTTGCTCCCCGTGACCCTGCTGTCCAGGGTTGGCACCGCCCACAGTGGGCTAGTCCCTCGCACATCAATCATCAATCAAGACACCGCCCACAGACACGCCCACCGGCCAGTGTGATGGAAGAAACTCCTCTTCCTAGGTTCTCTCTCCTTAGGTAACTCTAGTTTGTGCCAGTGGACGGTGCCCAGTACACGGCCTGACAGCTCTGGAACAGAAGCTGCTGCGCTCCTCAGCGGCCTTTGAAACAGGACGGTTTCCTTCATCTGTGATGCCTGCTTTGGCCAGCGTGCTCTGTGGGGCAGCAGCACTGTACTCTGAACTTGATGTGATGTCGGTTTCCTCCCTACAGGGCACCTGTGGCGGGGTCCTGAGAGGTACAGGAAAGCAGAAGATAGGTGCTATCCTGAACGCCATCGGTTACTACGGGTTTGGTTTCCCTATCGGAGTGTCTCTGATGTTCGCTGCTAAACTTGGGATAATAGGTATGCGTTTGATTCCTTAGCGAGTCACCAGATCTCACTGTTGTAGTTAAATCATTCACTTGAGGTGTAAAGCGGCTGGCTGGGGAGCTGGTCTGTGGGAAGGGAGGCATTCCTGCAGGGTGCCTGCTGCAGCAGGAACGAGCCCTGGCAGTGGCAGCTGAACTATTGGTTCTCCTGCTTTCATGATGCTCCTAGTGTTTCTCCACCAAAGGGCATGATGGATTTGGGACTGCAATGTGCACGTGTGCATATGACTTTAAGTCATGCCTAAGATGTGTTTGTGGAGGGCTGTGAGGTGATTTAGTGGGTAGAAGCACTAGCCATGAGCTCATGACCTCGTTTAGTCCTTGGAATCCACTGTGAAAGCAGAGAACTAATTCCTAAAAGGTATCATCTGACATCGTAGTACATGTGCCCACACTCTCACACGCACATCGTACACCCATATGTTGTCACAGACACGCACAATCATGTATATTAGATATGCACACAATCACATACACACACGTTACATCCACAGACATAATCACATGCAGACTCATACACACATAATCATGCATACACAATCATACACACACCACTATTCATACATAATCATAAACATACAACCATACATACACAATTATATATACACTTACTCACAAACACAATTATGCATACACAATCATACATATTTACATACACAAATAATAAAAATGGAAAAGAATTGGCTGTGGAATCTGTTTTGTCGAATGTCTTTAACAAACATGTCTGAGGATTTGACAAATGCTGTTTTGGTGGAAACAGTTCTATAATTTTTAGCCTTAGATGGACTATGAAGGTAGGGATACTGTCTTCCTTGTGAGCATCCTGATTAGGACAGGCCAATCGAGCTGCTAGACTTCTATGTTACTGTTTATGTGACTGTGGCAGCTCACCGTAGCTTCACTTTTTGTGTATTTTTGTTGGGTGTGCGTGCTTGAGCCCATGGCTTGGCGTGAGCTAGCTGAGTGTTCTGCCACTGAGCCACTCCCTCGGCCCTTGTTAGAGCATACTGCAACTAATATTGCCTATATACAATGCTTATTTCATAAATAAGTTCAAACTTTTTGTATGCCCCAATACAAGATAAATAAGATTTACCTATTTTTGTAAGCATTTTATGGAATTCTTCCATGAAGCTGTTTAACCTGGGATGTTTAAAAATTTCATGCATCTGAGAGCAGCTCAGTTTCTGTTCAGACTTTTTCTTGTGTCAAACTGAATAAATGCTTTGTTGAGGATCAAAATCTGTAGAATTGTGCCAAGTAATTTAAAAGCTGTTTTGTGTATATATTCATGTTTTTATTTTCTATATGTTTCTACATAATAAAGCATTTCTAATAATTACATAGTTTATTCATGCTGACACAATGAAAAGTCCAAACAGAAACTGAGCTGCTCTCAGTTTAAAGTAGCAATGAATTTTATTTCATATTAAAAGTAGTGCAGTTGGATCTGGGGATGCCTGCCAGGCATGATGCCCTGAGCTACATCCTCAGAACTGTTTCTTAAAGTCTAGTTAGAGAACGTCATGACTGCCCCAATGTGTGTGGAGAATCACTCTTCCCATTCTTTGTCCAAGCAGCACATTTTTTTTTATCGTGTATCTAATATTATTTCTCCCACTTCTTTGCAAAACTCAAAATGGCAGCTGGCAGAGGAGAAGTGTTGTGTCTTCATTCCTCTGGAGGGCGTTTGATTGGTTCCTGTTTACAAAACACAGGGGAGGAGCATCCAACATATACACACCACTAACATGGTCCTAAATAAAGTCATATCTAAGGATGTACACCACTACCCCATCTACATCTCGGCTGTAGGGATTACCCCAGCCTCTGCCTAGTCTTCAGGAGTGAGTGTGAGAATCGGGGGTCAGCAAGTGACTGAAGAATGACTTGGGAGACAAAGTCCCAACTTAAAGTGTATTTCAGTTCTGCACAGTGGGCTCTGCTGGGACTATTGACTTTCAAGTGATTAAAAATAGTTTCTTCTGGAGAGATGGCTCTGGGGTTAAGAGCAGTTGCTGTTCTCACAGGGGACCCTGGTCTGGCTCCCAACACCTATATGGTCACTCACAACCGGATCTAACACCCTCTTCTGTCTTCTCCGGGCACTGCACACACATGATGCAGTTATATGCAAGCAAAACACTGATACACATAAAATAAAAATCTATAGTTGTTTCTCCTCACACATATTCTTTTATGTAACTCTCTTGGAGTTTTAATATTTTTTTAAGATTTATTTATTTAGTACGTGTGTACCTGAGTGTATATGTGTGCAGTGCCTGTGGATGCCAGAAGAGGGCATCAAATCTCTCGAAATGGGAGTTACAGACAGTTGTGAGACTCAAACCCTCAAACCCGGGTCCTCTGCAAGAGAAGGAAGTGTTCTTAACCCCTGAGCCATCCCTGCATTCCCAAACGCTCCATAGTTTCCATGTAAAGTTAGAGGAATGTATTCCAAGTGAGCTCCTTCTTTCGTCCCTCCATCTGCTTCCCTCTTTCTTTCCTCCTTCCTCCCCTCTGCCTCCTCTTCCTCCTCCCCACTTTCACTCTGTACCCCAGACTGACTTGGAACTCACTATAAATCCTGGGAAAGCCTCAAACCTTTAACTTCCTGCTTCAACCTCTTAAATGCTGGAATTGTTGACATGAGCAGCCACGCCTGGCATCAAAGTGAGCTTTTGAAAATACCAGATCTCACAGCCATCCATGCAGACACCAGTCTGAAACCCTTTCGTGGGTCCCAGTGACCACGGACAAATAGTAACCCTTGGATATTCCTGTGGCTCACACGTCCTCCATGGCCTTCCTTCTACCTTGTCACTTCCTACCTGGCCTCTCTGCTCACGGGGCTCCCGAGCTGGTCTCTTCCGGTAGCATGCTCCTCCTGCCTCAGTTTGTTCGGCTGGCCTGCACCTTCCCTAGGCTGATTCAGGTCTCTACTTCAGAAGACACCTGACCGCTCACTCGGACGGCGCTGCAGGTCATCGTTAATGACCAGAGAGTCACCCACCTAGCACTCTGCATTTCCAGTGTGTTTCTTTGCTCGTCGCCTGTCCTTCAGTGTCTCTAAAAGCTCGATGACAGACTGCAGTCTATCCAAACTTTTTGAGAAGTTAGTTTAACTGAATTTTTGCTCCACTGACTGGGAATTATCAGGGAAGAATTTTAATGATTACTGGGACGGAACTGACAGCCCTGATGCTCACCTTGTGTCCACAGGCCTCTGGTCCGGACTGGTAGTCTGTGTTTTCTCCCAAGCCCTCTCCTATTTAATCTACATCAGGAGGATGAACTGGAACAGAGCCGCAGAGCAGGTAACAGTCTCCATGTTGTTTTAAAATGCATCAACACTCGATCCCGTGGTCGGCAAGGCATCTTTTGGGGTGAAGAGATAAATAAAATCCCGCCAGTTTCAAGACAAACAATGTATCGTGAACCACACTGGCTATGTGGGGAGGCCAAAGGGAGACAGAGAGATGGTTTCTCTTAGATAGAGTTGACTGGTGTCTCCTGACCACAGGACTCAGTCCCAGAAAACCGAAATTGGCTTCAGTATGTCTTTGTTTTTCTGTAAAATAGTGTTAGAAACTAGTTTCCTGTTTATGCCAATTAGCTCTTCTAAAGGCTTCAGTTAAAAACCTTTTTAGGTCCATTATTACAAAGTTAAATTTTTTTTAAAAGGCTAAATATTTGTGATTTGTGGGACGTGTGGGCAGGGGTGGTGACCCACATGAGTGTGTGAGCAGAGATGGCTCATCTCACTGTGGTAAGGCCTAATGTAAGACCCGGATGGGTGGCCAAGAGGGAGACCTCTTAAGAAGGAGGGGGAGCTCAGGAATTCTGACTGTTGCCTTTTAGTTTTGTGCTCCCTCTGGCTTTGCCTAATGGTGATGTATTGTGTGTTTCTTAAGTTCACGTTGGTTTGTTGAGGGAGTGGAATATATAGAATATTGACTTGGGGCTGGAGAGATGGCTCAGTAGTTAGGAGAACTGACTGCTCTTGCAGAGAATTCCTCTTTGGTTCCCAGCACCCATATGGTAGCTCATAACTATAACTCCAGTTCCAGGGGACCCAGTGCCCACTTCTGGCCTCCATAGATACTGCATAGCCTGGCCCACAGACATACATGCAGGCAACACCCCCACACCCATAATTAAGCCTTAAGAAAAAATTGATATTGACTTGGTCAGTAAACTAGCTTTTAGATGGTGATGTCATTGACTGTTAGATTTGGTCCTTTTACCGTAGTAGGAGACACTAAAGGAATAAGTGCCAACAAGTTAAACTGCCAGCTGCTCTATTAATGCTGCCAGCAGAGCATTGGGAGATCAGTCATTTTCTGGTGTTATCATCTCTTAATGTGTCACGTGACACTCTCCTGGCCAGGAAAGGCTGTTTCCAGTACTATAGCCTTTCAGCTCTAGCTTTAAACTGAAGTTTTAACAAAAAGCTACAGCTTGACCCCATCTCTACGTCATTTGCTCATATACCCTTGTCTTTAGGCACAAGTTCGAGCTGGGCTAAAAAGCAGCAAAGAGACGATACCCACCCCAGCAGGTAATGGGCCACTCTCTTCACGGTTCTGTTTCTGCTCTTACTAAGTATGAAGCTCAGTTGTCCAGAGAGGTCGAGTTTGAGTTCCTGCTCTCATGACAGTAATGTTTGTCTCTGCCATAACTTGCCAGACCAACTCTGAACTCTCCTGTTAAATGTTTCTTATGTAATTTCACATATACTAACTGACAATTGAGGGTCATTTTTTAAAACCACAGTGACAAAGTAAATGTCCCATTGCCCTCTTCAAACAGATCTGCCCATCTTGGAAAGAGACGCTATCGATGGAGTGATTTTGCCTGACATCGTCAGACCAGAGGGCCAGGCGGGCCCGCTGGTAGTAGAAGAAAGCCAGCATGCAGTGCCCACCGTCGGGGAGATCTTGACGGGGAGACAGCTGATCATCTATCGTGGCCTGGCCCTGGCTGCTTCCATTGCTGTCCTCATAGCAGGAATTGTAGTGCGAGTTCTCAATGATCGTGGCTAAGATAGGATTCTCACCGTTCTGTGGACTGGTGATAATTGTGTACCACGTCCTGAACATGGGCGGGAGCTTGTTGTTGGAATAGAAGCCTTCTCTTAGCTGTGGGGAGAAAGGCTGCCTTCAAGCATCCTTGGTTACACTGAGAGACCGTCCCACTCTACTGCAGGTCAAGAAAGAACTAACGAGTGAATGGCTATCCAAATTGAGGGGTGTGCTAGGGTTAGAGTCCACAGACTTCAGCACCTGCTAGGCAAGTGCTCTACCATTGAGCACTCCCATGTCCCAGAAGCCCTGCTTTTAAGGATGCTTTCATGTTATCATGGTTTCCAAATACTTCGGTTTGATTTTCCCTACTGGAAATGTACTTTCCCTACCCATGCATCCTCCGCTGCTGGATCCTCACGGTGAGTGAATGTCAGGTACCCCTTCTCCCTGTCTGGGTGCCACAGGAGTGCTTACAAAATAAATACCTAAGATTTACAATGCACGCTGAGAATATTTGAGGACATGATGTTATTATTATAAATGGTAGCTTTTGGGTTTTACCTTTAAACAATTTTCATACTAATTAGGAAGGATATGGATTCTTGTTTTGTTTTGCTTTTGTTTTTGTTGTTCCTTGGCTCCCACAATGCTTTGGTTTGGTTTCACTTTCCAGGGCAGACATTTTTATGGCTTAATCTAGAAAATTTGATCAATCCTAAGATAATTTTTTGAAAGTATATACTAAAAGCAAAAAAACAAGAGCAAAGAGCACCAGGCATCTCCTAACATAAAGCTCCCAAGTCACCCACAGTGGAGTACAGGGCCCTGCAGTTTCAGTCAGCTGCCATGACTGTACCATAACCTGGTGAGACTGGCAGACACAGAGAAAACATTTTATTTGTTTTGGAAGCTCCATCAGCTGCCGGTGTTGTCTTGGGGAGTCTGATGGAGCAGAAAGGCTCCCTTCGTGACCTGGAGGCAAAGGAAAAGAAAGAGGCTGGGCTCTGACTATCCATCCATGGCCAGGCTGCCAGGGACTGGACATCCTCCCATTAGACCCCACCTCTTAAAGGTTCCCAGCCTCCCACGAGCGCTGCACTGGAGACTAAGCCTTTAACACATGGTCCTTAGTGAACACTTCGCTTATTTGATTTGCTGTCTTAAGGATGAGAAGACAACCCAGGATCATCAACTCTCTCTAAAGAAGCCCATAATAGTGAACTTATAAGGATAAAAACTTACATCCTCAAAGAGACAACAGAAAATATTATAACTGCATCATAGAGCAGGACGCTCTAGGATAAAACGTTTTGAGTTAAATTTATATTGCATACAATGCGCCGTCTGTGAGCAAGGACCTCAACGACATTCAGTTCAAGTGTGCGGTCATAACTCTCGCCTAGTTGCAAAGCGTTTCATCACCCCCTCCCCAAAACTCGCGTTTATCACCAGCCTTTCCCCCAACCCCCAGCAAACACCAGCCTGCCTTCTGTGTCTGTGGATTTACTTCTGGAGTATGGAAGGACCACGTTGGAGGCTTTGATTCTGCTTCTTCAGGCTCCTCCCCCGAGCCACACCCATCTGGACCTTCCTTTCCTGGCTGAGAGTTACATCTAGGCTGCTTCCCTCTCAGCTGGTGTGAACAGTGCTGGTGTGATCGTTCATGTACAGGGTCTTTGTGTACACACCTGTCCCACTCCTTCCGAAAACGTCCTGAGAGAAGAACTGTTGAGTTATTCTGCGGTTCTGCAACTTTTAGGGGAACTACGGCAGGACAGACTGGAAAACTACAGGGATGTGGGGAAGGGAAGGACCCATGCTCCAGAGCTTGCCAGTAGAGAAGCAAGAGCCCCAGCATTTACTGTGAATGCTGCCAACATAAAGATAGTATTTCTTTCACATTTAGCTATTGAGATGTCAATGAATCAGGCTTAAAGCCAGAATGCATGTGATCTTGCGTAGGGCCTCACTTTTCTCCTAGATCAGCAGTTCTCAACCTGAAGGTCACGACCCTTTTAGGGGTCCAACGACCCTTTCACAGGGGTTGCATATCAGATAGCCTACATACCAGATATTTACATTACAATTCATAACAGTAGCAAAATTACAGTTATGAAGTAGCAATGAAAATCATTTTATGCTTGGGGGTCACCACAACATGAGGTACTGTATTAAAAGGTTGCAGCGTTAGGAAGGTTGAGAACCACTGCCCTAGATGTTTTCTGGGAATCACAGATAAGGCTATTTTTATTTTCTGTGGAGACAGCCTGCCTTCCTGCACCCCTGTGATCTACACTTGACCATCACAGACGGTAAAATCCTGTCAAGTGGCCCTGGGGACTATCAGGTGGTTTCACTCAGGTTCCTTAGCAACTCTTAGAAGATAATAGCTTCAAAACCCAGTACCTGTGAGGCAGACGCAGGTGGATCTCTGTGAGTTTGAAGTCAGCTTTGTGAGTTCTAGGGCGGTCAAGACTACACCGGGAGACCCTGTGTCTCAGAAACCGTAAAGACAAAACCCCTGCTAAAATGGTAACAGAACTGTTGTAAAAGACCGTGGAGGAGGGCGATTCCCTTCAAGAAACCTGCACACATGCTCGTGAGCATGTCTCACTTTTGGAACACCTCTCTTCCTCTTAATCCTTATGCTTAAATTCTTTCTTAAAGTGCCTTTTTAATAAACCCAGCCTTCCTTTATATTAATTTGTCTTCAAAGTCTTCTACACTGAGGACAAAGGCCTGGCCCTGGAGTCACACGCAAAGCAGATGGTGCTCTTCAGGAGTGGGACCGGGCTAGCTGCACATGTGTATTGCAAACCCCAGGGCAATAACTGTACAAGGAAAAGGTGAGCTGAGTTAGGTATGCCAAGAAAAAAGAGCATCTCAAAAACTTGCTTGGTTAAAACCGGGAGGGCAGAGGCAGAAAAAAGAAAAAGCAGAACAAACAGAAAAGGTAACAAATATTACGCAGTCTCAGCAGTGAAGAGCATTGGCTGCTCCTGCAGAGGACCCAGGTTCGATTCCCAGCACCCACACAGTGGCTCACAACTGTCTATACTGCAGTTCTGGGGCATCTGAGCCCTCTTTGGGCCTTCGTGTGCAATGCAGACAAATGGTGCACAGACATGCATGCAGGCAAAACACCCATACGTAGAATATAAATAACTCTTTAAGAAAAGAATATGCGGCTGGGAGGTGATGGCGCACGCCTTTAATCCCAGCACTCGAGAGGCAAAAACAGGAGGATCTCTGTGAGTTCGAGGCCAGCCTGGTCTACAAGAGCTAGTTCCAGGACAGGCTCCAAAAGCTACAGAGAAACCCTGTCTCCAAAAACAAAAACAAAAACAAAACAAAACAAAACAAAAAAACAAAAAAAAGAAAAGAAAAGAAAAGAACATGTGCTGCAGACAGAAAGACCCTGTGAGTTCTCCGTCCCACCCTGAGGAGTGGATCCTTTTACAGTTGCTAAGCCTAGACTTTGGTGGTACTTCAGGGCAGTGGAGAAAAGGAGGTCAGCCAGCTGTAATCCACAGGGTAAGGGGCTAGTTTTCTTCTCTCGGGGAGCCCCCTTCCAGCATGGTATAAGAACAGCCACAGCCCCTCCAGAGTGAACCCGTATATTGTCCTACTTAAGTTGTTAGGATCGGAAACCGAGCCCTGCAGCTCTAACAACCTAGGCTCAACACCTGTCTTCAATTAGACAGACAGGAGACGGCGAAAAGCCAGGAGCAGAGATTCAGCCAATGTAGAACATTGGGATGGGGAACAGATGAACAGCCCAGTGAGCCCCCACTTCATCCCCACCCCCGGGCCCCAGGCCATCTTCAGGGCCCTGGTACGAAGGTCAGTTTAAACAGAGAGCAATGAGTAACTATTGAGGCCTGATCGAAGTGCAGCCTGGCCGATACCACTGCACCAGCTCCTGTCTCTTCTGCAAGGTGGCCTGAGAAGTCGTCAGACCTGTGTGAAATCTTGCTGGGAATGAGTTCCTCTTCTGGTTGGCACCAGGCTTCAGCCTTTTTCTCCTCCCTGCATGAGACCCCTAGGCAAATCTTGATTTCTTGGCATCTGAATTAACCTTCTCTAAGGGAAGAGAATTGATAGGATGTATATGTGTGTGTGTGGTGTGTATGTGTGTGGTATGTATGTGTGTTATGTATGTATTTGTGTGGTGTGTATGTGTGTGTGGTGTGTATGTGTGTGTGGTGTGTATGTGTGTGGTATATATGTGTGGTATGTATGTGTGTGTGGTATGTATGTGTGTGTGGTGTGTGTTTTATATATATGTGTGTGTATGATGTGTATTTGTGTGTGGTATGTATGTGTGTGGTGTGTATGTGTGTGTGAAACAAAACAAAACAACCCCACATTTTTCCTTTATAACAAAACCCAGCCTCTATGCATGTCTCTGAATGGGAACACTGGCTGCCCAGTGGTACACTGAGCTATAGCTGTCTCCTGCAATTAGACTACTCTTGTAATTTAGGAAAGGATTCTGAGATTCGCATGAGGACCTGCGTCCCTCCCGAGAGTCTCGCTCTCCAGTGAGCTCAGCCCCAGAGGACATTTTTGATAGCGCCTCCTTCACACATCGCTCCACTCAGCCTCCAGCTTTTCCAACGCCAGCCATGTCTTCTCTTAATAACTCTGCTCCCGTCTTCTCTCTTCCCCCTTCTTCTTCCCCTTCGCTCTCCATCCACAAAGCTTTCTCTAACCACTCCGCAAGAGGGTCCAGAGGCTCTTGTGGCATCCATAACACTGACTCTCCTGTTCTGTGACGGCTGTGCACTATCTAGGGCCTGCTAGCTGCCCTCCCCCCATAATCTCTGCTAAAGACCCCACGTCACCCAACAAGCTTCTCCTCAGTCAGGGATAACTCAGTTCCAGGAAACTCACTGACAGCCACATTTTCCCTCAAGGGTCCTAGCGTCCTTTAAAGGCTGAGGAAACACAGCCTCATGGTAAACTTCTGATCACTGGGCTATTGAAATAGTCCTGGTAATGTTCTGTGCAAAGCCCCATCTGGGCAGTAAAGAAGTCAAATGGAACCCACACACTATTACAGGACCTGAAGACCATAAATGAGGTGTTCTGGTCCACCCCATAATCCTGAATCTTTATACCTTTTGGGAATAGATATTCCCCCAATGCCTCCTGGCTCACAATGTTAGGTTAAGGATGGTTCTTTTCTGTTCACATCCTCCTAGACTCAGTTCCCATCTGCTGTAGAATACTGAACCTCAACACCCAGGTTACTCAGCAGCTTTTATGGATTTTCTTATCTCAGGGCTTTTGAAATAGTTCCCACCTCTTCTGATAGGCACTAGCCAAAAAACTTGTCCTCTCTTACCAACCCTCCCCTCCCCACCTCGGGCTCCCAGGAGTAGCTTCCTTCAGTATGTAGCTAACTAAGGAATCTATAACCAAGAAAAACCTACCTCAGATCAAATATCACAAGTGTGCCTCGTGTGGTTTGGTTTTTCCTTCAAAGGCCCGGATCTC